AGAGTCAGAGGAATACAGAGTTTTGAAGGTTTCATCTTTCAAGGTCACAGCAGCACAGAAGGGTTGGCTTGGGAAAAAGAACGTTCCTCTTGCCAAGAATCCATGTCCCATCTGATGAATCTGGCTGCCAGAGAACCACAGAGTCCCAACCTGGTAACTGGAGTTATTGACAACTTGTTTTCATATTTCAATAGCAAATTTAATCTGTAAGTTTATGGTATATGTTCCCATCCCCACCTTTCATGAGTCTTCTCTGCATCTTTTTCCCTAAGCAATGAGGGCACAGGATTTGGATTTTCCATTCAGGTACCTCTTACCCTACCCAAACCACCATCAGTGCTATCAGATGTGTCAGCAGCAGGAAGAGGAGCACAGCCTCCCAGATTTTACATGGCGCTGGTGATGGGACTTATGGTACCTACCGAATGACAAGCAATATACCCGGGCCTACTGGAAGTCACATAGCAAAGTGGAAATTGCATGGACCTCACACCAGCTTTGAATGCATGACTTGGGCCCTCACTTTCCCTCTCTGAACCTTAGTCAATGCATCTGTGAAATGAGGGTAACAACAATTACTTCCCGAGTTATTATGAGGATTGCATGCAAAGCACCTAGCATTACCAGAGACAGAGCAGGGAGCTCAATCAATTGTAATCTTCTTGTCTCTTTCTCTCTTTTATATATATCATCTCATTCTCTCTCATCAATCCTGAAAGATTTTTAGTTTCTCACTTTATAGATAAGAAAACTCAGTCTATTTATCCACTGTATCCCAAATATTAAGCAGAACTTTTGGCACAAAATAAGCCTCAACAAATAGTTCATTAGTAAATGGATGGATGGATGGATGGATGGATGGATGGATGGATGAATGAATGAATGAATGAATGAATGAGGCAATCATACGGGGGTTTAGAATCTTGCCCAAATTTTCACAGCTAGTATCCCAGATGAGTTAAGACATAAGGCAGAGCATCACAGAAAATTTCATACAAGGAGACAAAATAAGAACCCAGAAATGGGAACAGAAAGGCATAATATAACTCATCCTTTTTTATGATTGAGAACACTTTGTTTCACAATTCTAAAGGCGTGTTTTAAATATACAAAATCTGAACATGATTTTAAAAGCAGACAATAGAACCCCAAACTCAAGTCCCTAAATTCCATAAGATAAGAGTACAGGTCTTACTAAGGCCCCAGTGTTCTTACACAAGACACACTGCCCAGGGTTGGCCTGGAAGGATGGGGTGTGCCTCTGCAGGAATGCTGCCCAGCACTCAGGGAGGGGGAAGAAACTTCCCACAGAAATACCTGGCTGCTGGGCATCCGTCCTGGTCAGTGCCCTGTGATCTCCTGAAAGGAAAAGATAATAGAGCCTTTCTCAGAAGATGAGGATGGAAAAGATAACTAATAGTTTCTGGAACCTACTGTGTGTGAGGCATTGTGCACTTTACCTGCATGGTCTTTAGACTCCTTGAGAACCTTATGAAACTCTAGACACTTGAAAGACCCAAGAGGCACAGATTTGCCCAAATACCTTGGCGATAGAGCAGTAACTGAACCCAATTCTGAGGTCAAAGCCCCTGTACTTTCTACTTTTCATTTTGCCTTGCATCCTCTTCTGTGCCATGCTGCCTCTCCAGAATGGGCTGCAGAGCCATGAGTAGATCTCAGTGATCAGAGACCCTCTGTCAGCCCAGCAAGGTGGCAGGGTGCATTAGCTGGGTAGATGTGGGGGCCTGACCACTTTCCTAGTGGGCCTTCCACCACAGAATAGGATGAAAATATCAATGAATTCCAGGGCACTTTCGGAGATAATGTCTGCCAGAGTCTCACCTGAACCCAGCAAGGTGGTCTAGACATTCCCAAAGAATCTGCATATGGCCCTTTGAGGATGAATGCTCCACCAGCTCCCTATCCTTATTAGTAGGGCAAGAGTCAGACTCAGAAGGCATCAGGGTAGAAAAGTCCAGGGTTGGGTCTCTGGAGTCAAATAGCCTGCATTTGAATCCTGGCTCCACCATTTACTCCTGTGTGACCTTGGGCAAGTTACCTAACATCCCTATGCTTTGCCTATGGTTCTTCAACTTCCAAATTAGGCCCACATTAATAGTACTTACCACCCAGGATGGTTTTGAGGATTAAATGAGAAATGTCCATAAAGCCTGGCATGAGATGAGCATTCCACAGGGGTTCACTGCTATTATTCCTGTCATTATTCCTCCAAGTAAGTAATAGCAGGGTTAAAACAGGGAGGGACTTGACACTCTTCACAGAGATACCTCTGACTGGAGTTCTCTGATCCTCTTTTGTTCTGGCTCAGAGGAGCCTCCACCCAAGCCATGTAACAGGTGATTCCCAACAGGCTCCGACTCTCTAGCCACCAACAGTGGGTATAAGACTGTAGAAATCTGAGAGCAGTTGGAAACCTCAGAGTGCTTGAGAAATTCAAAGTCTCTGGAGTAAGGAGGACATGATTTAAGAAACCCCCGATAATGTAGTCCAAATCATCAGTGTTCACAGACTCATTTCCTACTCAAGCTAGGGGTGCTTAGAATGATAGATGTGGGACTTTCCCATAAGGTCCAGTTCTCATATTTCTAGATGGGGAGTCAAACCTCTGGGGAAAAGGAGAGCAGTGCAGCGATTAATCCCCACAGTCAATTCAGCGGCTTGTTGCTTCAGGAGACTCTGAGGTAAGGCCTATTCCCACATAGCCCTCCATACCCAGGCTTTGGATCATGAAGCCAAGGTTCAAGTCTTCTCCATATGACTGTTAGTAACTTCTGTCTCCTCTGTAAGTCTTAGTTTCCTCATCAGAAAAGTAGAGAGAATAGTACCAACCTCATGAGATGTTTTGAAAAGATTAAAGGAGCTAATATTTTAAGCAACCAGTCCAGTTTCTGTCATGGAAATCAGTAATTGTTAGTTCCATTTTCTTTCACTTCCTCTGATTTGGCACTGAATTTGTGGCATAGATAGGAGACAGTCTTAAGAAAATCAGAGTTGTTTATGGTTTGCTGAGTACTTCTAAGATGATTTAACTCTCTGAATGAGCATTCTCTTTCATGCCTCTGACCTAGAACACCAAGCTCAGAGTTATCAAGCAAAAGCCTGAGTGAATTACAATGGGGGGGGGGGTGTACTCTGGCTCTGTGAAGACCTGTAAAAGGCAGACATTCTGAACCATGGGGTGCTGGAGCTGAGCAGAGAAAACCAGAGAGTTAGCAAGTGTTCTGAAGGAAGGTTGGTTGCCCTAATACCTCCCAAGTAATGTTGAAATCATCAGAAGACTAAGATGAGGCAGCGATCACCCTGAGTAAGGGATTGGAGAGTCGATGATTTCTAGCTAACAGCAAGGTAAAAAAGGAAGCCTAGCTTGTAGGATGAGGTGGAAGCATCCTGTTTCTGGGAAGACCATAGACTGTGTCAGTGAGGTTCCTGGTACTATTATGTTATTATAGGTATCAGTGTATGCCAACCATGGGTGACTGTCAACCTGACTTTTTCTTCTATGTGCATTTTTCTGTAATTATTTCCATTTTGTTCTCTCTTGATATTCAGATAAACATTTTGAAAATGTCAACCTGTCTAGTGGTGCTAAATTAAAACTACAAAAGGAACTTTGATTGATTTGGGGGCCAGGTTGTGGAAGCCAGACATGGTGGGGATGGGGAAACTTGTACACTCACAAGCAGAAGGTGAGACACAGAGGGACAAAATAAAGCTCTTGGGACACCCCTTGATCCTCAACTTTGAAGGCTTTTGTGTCTTCCAGGGTCTATGTTTCATATACACACTCATTCAACACCTATTTGCTTGGAATCTCCCATGTGCCAGGCAAGGTGCCAGGATATCACAGTGAGAAAATCAGATAGGGTCTTTTTTCAAGTGGAATTTTAGATCTAGAGCCCAAAACAGTCAATAATAGACTAAATTTACATTACATTCCATGATAAACTCCATGAAGAGTAATATAAGGAGCTGTAGAAATATGTGCCAGGGACCTGACCTAGCCTATAGAGGAAAATGGGAGGAGGAAGACAGGGAGGACTTTCCTGAGGAAGTGGCATTTCATCTGAGAAAACAACAGAACAAGTTGGTTTCATAAGAGAAAAGCCAAGTGACCGGAATGACTGGAATGACCAGTCACTATGACGCACACTACAGCTGGCCAACCAGCCTGATGGGGGCAGGGCCAGCCTGTCAACCCCTGTGCCTGATAGGCCCCCCACCCTGATCGGGGGTGGGGCTGACTGCCCAACCTCCTGAGTCCCCTCCCCCAGCCAGCCAGCCCCTATCAGGGCAGGCTGGCCAGACCCCACCCATGCATGAATTTGTGCACCAGGCCTCTAGTTTTGTATAATGCACAAAGGTTTTTATTTTTTCTGAGAAAATACTCAACAAAGTCAGTTTGAAATAATAACTTGTGTTTGTGGTTACAAACACAATATCTTGGAAGTGTTTTCTGCAAGTTTAGGCAAGGCCAGTAGCCTCAGAGGCTCTTGAACATGTAAGATCTGAAAGTGACCATGACCTGTGCCCACAGGCTCTTGTTTAAAGCATTATGGGATGTTTGTTGAATAATTATCAGTGTTGTTCAGCTCATTATATTCCATTCGACTCAATAAACATTTATTGGGCACCCTGCTCTCATCATAAGTATAAGAGCTCTCCTAATAATAACTATAATAATCATGATAACAACAATAATAGCAACTATCATTTATTGAGGACTCACCATGTGTTAGTTACTATGCCAAGCAAACATTTTACATGGATTATTTCATTTAATCCTCAGAACAACCCTATGAAGTCATATGTATTAAGATTCCCTTGAAGAAAGTGAGTCTTAGAGAGATTAAAAGACTTGTCTGTGGCTGCGAACTTATTAAGGATAGGTCTTGCTTATTGGGCCAGGATTCGGATCCAGGGCCTAACATTACAATACACTGTCTTCATTTCACATTATTATGTCATATTTGAGATGAAGAAATTGTCCTTCAGAGTCATTTCAGGGCCCTGTGTATTTTCCCTGAAAATAATAATATCTATGCCTTGTCAAGCATTTCCTATATGACTAGCATGTTACCTTAAAACCTTCTAACTCAGAGGTGCTCAACAGAGTGGATTATGTTTTAAGCTGTGGTGGATCTGATACTCAGGTAGGGTCAAAAACTTCTGCCCCAATTCTTACAACACCTTCAGAAGATATGTTTCAATATCCCCATTTTACAGGTAAGAAAACTGAGACTCAAGGAGGTGAACTGTCTTGCCTGAAGTCACAGCAAAGATGAGGCAAAGTCATGATTGAAGCCCTGGTCTGAGTCCAAAGCCCCCATTACTTTAGGCCTCCAAGCTGTCACATGCATGGCCAGCCGGCACTCCCTCTAACTCCAGGTGATATGCACTGGCCTCTGAGCCTGTATTCAACATACAACTTCTTCTTTCCTGCCTTCTTCCTTTCTACTACTCCTTTCTTCCCCTGCCCAAAGCCCCACAACCAGACTTAGCCAGACTTCATGATCAGGGGACCACATGGATGCACTGGGTTGATGCCTCAGCTTTGGGTTGATAGCATCCAGCTCAGAGTAATGCCCACCAGGGGCCTCCCAACAGTCCCAGATCCTCCTAACCATGTAACAACATGTCTTCCTTAAACTCACCCAAGAAGACAGTGGTCCTGAGATTATTGCACAAGTTACTTTTCTGAGCAAATTTAAAAAAAAAATTAAAAGCAAATACTTGAAAAGTCAAATTAAATATCACAGGGGACAAAAAGCAAAATCATGAAAAAATGTGGTCAATCATTAGCAGAGAGGTTGAAAAGACACGCTCCAATTGCTTTAAAAATGCACAGAACCCAGGTCTCCTTAAAATAGTTTTGCAAAGTACATTGAGAATTCCATGCAGTAATATGAAACACAAGTCCCGCTGCTGCCACTGAACATGCTTCAGCTGGCTGAACCGAAGGAGCTTGACATTAACCCAAGGCTCTGCAAAACACAACAGGAAAGCACAATAGAGTTGCAGTTGCAAAGCTGCCCCAGATGTGTACATTTTCTGCTCCATTAAAATAACTTGGATGAGAGGCAAAGCACATTTGGTCCACAGAAAGAGGGCGTTAGGGGAGGGCCAGGGAGAGCACAGTCAGCCTCCATAGTCCTCCCACTCCCCAGTTTTGCCTCCCCTCTAAGCCTTCCTTCACATGGCTAAGTCTGTCTAAGTGCAAATATGGGATGTGAGGATGATCTGGCTTCGACATCTGTCACCCCGTTGTCGCCAGGGTTGATTTGCCTGATCTGGCTGGCTAGGCGAGCTTCCCCTTCCTCCCTCACCCATGTGCATCTCTCCTGAAGCTGTGCACTCTGTTGAAGCGGATGACCTTCCCCCCGGAGGAGAGGACCACACCGATCTTTAGTCAAAGGTATATGAGTAGTTGCACTCCCCTGCTAGAACCTCCAAACAAGCTCTCAAATATGACCTCAAACCTTCCAGGACTCCCCAGAGCCAAACTGCTTTGCCATAAGTCTCAGTTTTCTTAACTCTGTCATGGGGTTGAGACCTATTTCAAGGGTTCGGTGTGAAATTAATTGAGATCTTGGTGCCTGACATGCAAGGTTTATAGCAGGGGTCCTCAAACTTTTTAAACAGGGGGCCAGCTCAGTGTCCCTCAGACCGTTGGAGGACCGGACTATAGTTTTTAAAAAACCTAGTTGGCTGCTAAGCACAGGCAGCGGCAGCAAAAAACACCCGGCAGGCCGGATAAATGTTTTCGGTGGGCCGCATGTGGCCCGCGGGCCGTAGTTTGAGGACCTCTGGTTTATAGAATGCTTTGGAGGAAAAGTAGTTACCACAGTTATCATCACTGAATCCAGGTCATATGAGAGAGGTGAAGGTGAAGGATGTGAAAATGTCTGGGCAGAAAACAGACAAGACCTTAAGGGAAGAGCCTGGTCAAGGGCACATACCTCTGTTGTAGGTTCAATCCCTGCCCCAGTCAGGGTGTGAACAGGAGGCAACCAATCTATGTGTCTCTCTCACGTTAATGTCTCTCTCTCTCTCTCTCTCTCTCTCTCTCTCTCCTTCCCCGCTCCCTTCCATTCTCTCTAAAAATCAGTGGAAAAAATATACATGTCCTGGGGTTAGGGTGAGGATTAACAACAACAACAAAAAAGACATTTACTCATTCTCTCTAAAAATCAATGGAAAAAAATATCCTCACTCCTCCGGTAAGGATGAAGAAAAAAAAAAAGTTCCTAAGGAGAGAGAATCCCAAGTTTTCCCATATCTGAAGGGCTGACATGAGACTCTTGGTGGTGAACCTAGTCTAGCAGCTACAAGATGTAAGATTCCACCTCAGTGTAACTAAGAAAGGCCCTTCCAACCATCAATCAGTAGTTTCCAAAAGTTAAGGGGTGGCAGTAAACTTCCTGACATTAGAACTCTATCAGAGGAACCAGGATGGCCATTTGGCAGGGGTATTAAAGAGAGGATTCAACTACAATTTGGTTGAAATTGACATTTTTAACCACCTCTGAAATCTGTTCTTTTGAACTGTCTTTACTTGCCAATCAATGAATCACCAACATCTTGAGTCTCTGGTACGTGTAAAGCCTGGGGCTGTGGGCTCTATATCAAAGAGGTACTCTGATGGTTTTCACTAAGGCAGAGGAAGCACTTAGTAGGTTCTCCATGAAGCTATGTTAACAGACTGACTGTGATAGTCACCCAGGAAACAGAAACTCTTTTGGTTGCTCTGAGGCTGCCCAAGGGTGTTTCTTGGAGTATCCTGTACCTGTCGTTCCTTCTCTAGAATCCATTCTACGCACCTACATGCAAAACATATTTGAGTCTGTGTTTACTCTATTGGCATTCATTTCATTGTTTGTTCTTTTCTTTCTGGGTTCTTGGGAAATGGAACTGCCTCCTTGTGAGAATTATTTACACTGACTCGGGTGGGGAATTTGTTTGAACTTGAGGGTGCAGTGGTATTTATTGCGTTCATGAATGTGCCTGTCTTACAAGGAGTGGAATCGGCGTTCTGTCCTGTGGTCACTGGGATTACGCTCCAACTCCGAAAGGGACGGAGTTTCAGAAGAAACCATGCAAAAGGTTTCTGATGTGTGCTCTCTGTGTCTTTATTTAATGCATTTGTTCTATAAGCATTTACTCCCCAGCCCTGTGCAAGGAACCTGGGATGTTAAAGTTATTCAGCCTTTTTGTCACTTCTCAAAGAGCTCATGCCAATGAGGGAAGATAAAAGGTTGTGGGACAAGATAGTAGAAAAAGACCACCTGTGCTTGAGGAGAGGCTGTGGTTAAAGAAGGCTTCACAGCGAAGATGGCATTTGAGCTGGTCTTCAGGGGATGTTGAGGTCACCGTGCACTCCAGGAGGAAATACTTCCCAGGATGTGGGCAGAGCAAGCACAAAGGTTTGGGACCTCATAAAACAAGCTAGCGTGGGAAATGTCAAATAGGTTAAGGTGTCTGGGGTGTGCTGTGTCCAGGAAGGTGGTTGGAGATGAGACCGGTAACATATTTAGGGGTCACCCTCATTTAGATGGGATAGGCGGTTGGGCATGGTGCTACTTGAAATTACGTTGCAAGCATAGGTTGGAGCTTCAGGGACTTTCATTAAATATGGCCAACTCTGCATGATCCATCTTGTGAATTATCAGGAGTCCTGCTATACATTACTTCCCCTTGATGACCATAGGAGTGTATTATTAAAATAAAAACTCACTTAAGATCAGTCCAAAGAAATAATAATTACGAAGATAAATCTGCTGAAACAATAGAGTGGCCTTCTTTTTACCACAAGTGTGTGGGGCAACATAAGGCCAACATCTGCATCAGGACAACTCATGAACATGTCTGATGGGCACCACATACACTCCAGGGCTTGGTTAAAGGAGCTTGACCTGTACATTTGGATCTGGTAGGTGTATGTTGATGGGGTTCATCTGTATAATGTATTTCCTAAATCACAGTAAGGTAATTTGGGGTTTTGGTTTTTCTACTTCATCATTAGTATATTTGATCTTAAATGTGAGCACAGCGCTTTTAAAAGAGTAATGTTTAATGATTTCTGATTATAAAGTCATACCTGCTTACTGTGGAAAATAAATATAAATGTATAAGTATAAAACACAAAAGAAAGTAAAGCCACCCACCACTATTAAGAAACAACGTTTTGGTGCATTTATTTTTATAGGTTGAGTTTATTAAGATGAATTTAATCTATGAGAACACTTTCTTCACTATAACATAAATACTTAATATTCCCCGACCAGATTTTTGGGTTTTGAGGACAGGAAAGGTGTATTATTCATATAGTGACCTAATTTTGGCACAGGAATCCAACACTGAAACTCAAGTTCTGATACAATGTCTAACTTGAGTTCTATTTATTATCATTCCCCCAAATTTCAGTGAGTCCCTACCAAGTGCCAGGTCTGAGCTGGGCACTGATTATATCTGGGGAGATACTAGCCATATGTGATACAAAATCCACCCTCGCAGAGGCATCAGTGTGAGTGTGCTGACGCCCTTTGATGTGAGATGGGGTTCCTATGAATGTGGAGCCCAGTCGCCCTCTTTCAGCTGGTGTCCATGGCCTGACTGGGAAGAACCAAAACCCTCCAGGATCTCTTAGGCCTGTGGTAGTAGGGACAGACCATGGACTGCTATTCCAGAGTCCCATTCCTGAACTTTTCAAGGTGCTCCAGAAATGCCAGCCAGCCCTGGTCTTGCCTTCCTCAGGACACCCCTGCACTTCCCACTTCATTCCAACTGGTCCCGCCCAGTTCAGAGAGGGGTGCTAGGATGGAGGGAGACTACAGAGGCACCCCCCAAGGCAGTGGCTGAGAGCAGCTCTCAAAAGACCTTTGGCTACACCAGCCAGCTGGTCCAACTGGAAATCCCAGATAAGCCCCAGTACTGGTCAGAACTAGTTTGGCAGCTCTGGGGAACTTTTCTGGCGGACTGACCCTCCCCACCGCAGGAGCTGGCAGTTCTGGGGGGGAAAAAGAAAAGAAAGAAAGAAAAAAAAAAGTGAACTATAAGAGCTGAGAGGAGTGGCTAAAATTATTTGAAACACTAAAATTCTGCTCCGTTGCAAGTGCAAGTTTACAGTTAGGGATCCAAACAGGATTGCCCCCTGCGCCACATTCATTCCCTCGCAGTCTCGCCTCTCCTTTGCAATGCCGATTTTTGTTGTAGTGCAATTTGTTTTGCAGTGCGATTGTTGAAGCCATATAATCCTTCCCCAATAAGACTTTTAGTCAATGCATTCTTTTCTGCAATGCCATTATTATTATTAATTATTATTAATAATTATTATTGCAATTCAATCTCTGCCTTTTCCCCTCCCTACTCGAAACGCGCTCCGGCTGTGATTGCTCGGGTCTGACTTCGCGAGTGGCAGTGCGCTTCCAAACCCCCTCGTCAGCCCCCCGCCCCCCTTTCCCCTCCCTCTCTTTTCCGCGCCCAGGCCAGAGCAGCC